TGATCAGTATTAAGATCCCCTATTTTCTCATCTGATATAAGTGGATTTTTGCTTGAAGATGCAGGATCCACTTGTTGATCTTCATGTGATTTGACTTTTTGTAATGCAGATGTACGAGCATTGATTTGTATAGGGGTAGTACCAGAGTGATAAATTGATTCTGGTGGGAAACCTAGAGGATATATGGGTTCTTGGTCAAAAGACACAGGATTTTCATGCATTTTTCCACTGATAGCCTGCCTTTTAAACATGTCCTCTATCTTCTTCATCATACTGTCTTGTGAATTTGCAATGCTGGCTTCAATTTTTTCCAGCTTCATTTTCATTTCTTCTTGTTCTTTATGATGCTGTTCCTCAATACGCTGTATTTTATCCTCCATAATTTTCTTAGTGGCTTGTCTAGTACCGTAGTGATGTAGTATTTCTCTTTTGGCCAGAGTAACTGCGATTGAAAAATCTTTTAATATTATTTCTTCAAATTTTAATTAATTAATTTTAAATTAATAAATAAAATGATAATTCATAGCGAAAATTATGGAATGAATGATGAATGTATGCAAAATGCATGTATGAAAAAAAAACATTGATCCCAAAAAGTTAACTGTCATAGAACAACTTTCATCGGTATACAAAAGTTTCTTTATAATAGTTCATAACTACAGATAAGGCGTAGCTTTCCTATTAAGCTCTATAATTTCCTTCATTAACCATGACACCTTCTTTCCACACTTAGAAACTGGATCAACTTGATGCTCAATTATTTTGGCTTCAACAGCTAATTCCCCAACATATCTGGCAACCTCACTCATTTGAACCATGGCCTCGAACACCATATTACTTCTTTCTTCACTTCTTTCGACATAGAACTCGGTTGACTTTTGCCATTGCTCATTTGTTCCTTCAAGAGTTTGCTCTAACTCAGTGATTCTGACTTGGCAATTGTGCAGAATTTTTTCAAGATCTCTAATGCGTCTTCGCAGTGAAGCATTTTCCTCATTACTTTCCTTGAGATCATTAGGTCCTAGACGAACCTTTTCTTGAAATAATGATTCTTCAAGTTGTAAAATGTAAGCATTAAACTCTGAGTTTTTGTTTCTAGACTGATCCAGATCCTCTTCAAGTTTTGTTCGTGCTTCTTGTGTTCTTTGATTAAGCTTTTGGATTTGAATATCTTTGTTTCTGCATCTCTGCATCCAATTGCTAGCCACCTCCTGCTCTACCTCAAATCTGGTGTTGAAATTTTTTCTTTCTAGCTCCCATTTTCCTTTTTCAACATTGGATTCTTCCATCTTTTGGCCTCTGACTTCAAGCTCAGCAATCAACTGGTTCATTTCAGATTCAAATCCCTTGAACATGATACTTTTCTCGCTTTCAAATTTAACAAAGATGTCATTCTTCATCTCTTCTAAATCTTTGGCTCGATCTCTTTCTCTTTGCATTTCATTCATGATCTCACGGTGTTCAGCCTTGTGTTTTATAATTCGCTCTCTTCTGTCGACCTCGAAATCTTCCATTTTTTGCTTTCCTTTTTCCAGGCTTTTGAGTAGACGGCTATTCTTTCCTTTCAGATCTTCAACTCGTCTTTTCTCAATGTTCAATTCTCTGGTCATCTGTACCGTCGATTGGCTGGGTCCTGATGCTTTTCGGGATTTATATAACTCCTGGTAATCTTTCTGTAAGGCTCTGTATTCATCCTCACCTTTTTCTTTATCTTTTCTCAACACTGCACATTGTGATGAATGAAAGTCAATGTCAACCCCCAACATAGCTTTATCTTGTCTCATTTGCTCTAATTCTTTCGACCAGCCATCTCTTTCTGCTTCAAACTCAGCTTTCAGGATTTCAATCTCTGATGGAACCACCTTGATGCGATCATCCATAGAAATATCCTCATTTTGATCTGGTAGAGGAATATTTTCGTTTTTCCTGATAGATCTCCATTCTTCATAATCAGGAGTTAGCATTTCTTTTGCTGCTTTAGCTCGGATACAAAAAGTTGTTTTCCAAGCTGTAACGGCTTCCATGATGTTTCTTTTATAATTTTTGCTGTGGAATGCAAACTCAGATGACTGTAGTCCAGCAGTGACAGGTACAAATTGACGACCTTCATACTGTCTTATAACCAGAAGTGGTGCATATCCAATTCCTCCCCATAATCCGAGCAGCATTATCCAGTTGTAATTACCACATCTGTAAAAGAATTCCCTTTGGATTTGCCATGGGGCGCGCCAAACAACGTCATTGCTTTGCAGATTTCTAAAGGCATTAATCCACATATCCTTCTTAATTTCTTTCGGCCATTCCTGCTCTAGAAATTCTTTTAATGGTGAGTAATCCGTATTGAAGCGTCGGTATGAAACCCTTTCCGTCCTCCAGAAATGACTACGGATCCAAACATATAACAAATGGGTACACCCTGAGAATCGTCCACCTCCTAGCCTTCTGCAAGCATTTAACGATCTGAAGGTCTCTGCTAGGATAGCAGAAACAGGGTTAATCTTCTTCGGCAGTTGTTCAAACAAGTCTACTACTGCAGCTTCAATATATCCCAATGCTTTTGGGAAGATGACCATACCATATATACCCAGAGCAAATAGATCGAATCGTACTTTAGCGTCTGGATGACTCTGAATAAGCTCTCTGATGTTGGTCCAAGCAATGCCTTCGCTTTCGCCTTTTTGTTTTGTACGGGATGCTACCCATTCTTCTCGTACCCCAGCAATCTTTGCTAATTTAACTCGAAAGGGCTGAGTTTTAATTGACTTTGAATATATTCGACTCTCCAAAGCAACTTCAAGATGTAACAAAGTTGTATATTCTTCAATAGTAGGGACCAAGTCCTCCTTATTGAAAGTGAAGCAATTGTACCCTGGATTCCAGAATTGAACTAGGGCTCTGAGTAATTCATCATCAACTTCAACATAGAGCAAATATGGGATGTCTCCGTAAGTCTGATAAAACTGCAATTTTTTGTTTGAATCCCAACTTTCCCAAATACCTCGCAAATCTTGCAGATCATTTCTTTTTAGTGAAACTGAAGCATAACTGGCCAAGTCAGATACATAATCATCTGGCAGACTATCTCCTTCTTGTCTTTGTAAATCTTCAGCCCACTGTCTTACTTCTGAGTTTAGAATTACTTGACTTGAACCCTTTTTATCCATGGATGAAGGTTTTCCAATGAGACTATTAACACAAGGATCAATGTCTTTTATCCTGTATGATGCTATGCAAACAGAAAAATAAAGAACACACAAAAAGAAAATAAGTTAGTTTAAAGGATAATAACATTTATTTAATTTAAACATGCTTTTCTAAATAATTTAAATAAACATGTAAAATAAATTAACAGGAAAGACATAATTCATTTCTCCTGTGTGTACACCTATTTTGGACAAAATTTCGGCATGACTTCTAATTGGAAGAGTTTCTAAGGTTTTTTTTTATATGCAGGGTTTCAGAACTAGGAGTAAAGGTACCCGAATTGTCCTTGTTAGTGCCCCCTTGGGTTACTAACCCTCAATCCTAGTCCATTACAGACTAAAGTGAATCGAGTTCAATTCGAGGGGATACATTTCTCTATGCCTGACACGGAGAATAAATTCTCACGAAGACAGAGAGCATATGAACCCCGAAAGTTACTTGCTAGGTCTGACACGGAGAATAAATTCTCACGAAGACGTTGCTTTCACTTTCACTTAAAAGGGACAACTCAATTATAGAGCTTTATGTTATGCAATGCAAGTGTTGTGTGTGAGGAGAAATGTTAAACTTTTGACATAAAAATAAATACTGAAATAAAATATTTGCAAATAAAAATAAAACAGATAAATATTATGAAAATAATAAGTAAATATAAAAATTTTGCAAAGATAAAATTAGAAATTAAATATATGAATTTTTAATTTTTATTTTATAGAGACAATTTATAATTGATTTTTAAAAGTTTGACCATCCCCAGCAGAGTCGCCAAGCTGTCGTAACCGGTTTTCGTCCGGGCACGAAATATTAATTTATGGTGGGGAAATTAATGTTAATAAATAATTTTGAAAATAATTTGTGAGTCGCCATCGACCTTTTGGATCAGGTAGGTCGAATACCTAAAAATTTTCTTTTAAAATAGTTTTTAAGAAAACCATATTTAAAAGATGAACTGATCTGCGTTTTATAACCAAAAATTTGTTCTTTTTAATAAAAAAGGGGTTCGTGGTCGGTTACGTTTAGGGAAGGATTAGCACCCCTACAACGCCCAAAATTGGTACTTTTTAATTATAAATTGTCTCTATTATTAAAATTTAAAAAAAATCAAAAATATATTTAATTTATTATTCTATTTATTTCAAAATTATAAAAAAAATATTTATTTATTTAAAAATATCAGAAAAGAACTTCTAGGTGCCTTAAGACAGCTCTTTTCTTTGATATTGATAAATATTAATTTAAATAATATTGTTTAATTTTAAAACATCAGAATAGGACATCCAGTTGTATTAAGACTGTCCTTTTCTTCGATATATAAAAAATAATTTATTAAAAAATATTATTTATTATTCATTATATATATTTATGACTATATAATAATAGTAAAATTATTTTAATATATAACAATTAAAACAATAAAATACAATTAGAACAATATATTTAAAAGTGGTAAAATAAATGAAAATATTTAAAATTAGTGACTAAATTATAGTAAAAATTAAAATTAAAAAAACCTAATTCAAATTATAGGGTTTAAACATGTTATTTTCGTATTTTATTAATTTAGTGACTAATTTAAAACTATATAAATTCGAATATCATATTAAAATAAATTAAAAATATATACTCGGGATTAAAATATTATTTATCAAAATTAAAGGACTAAATATGAAATTTATCTTAAATATATTATTAATACGGTTAATGGCTAAAATATAAATAAATAAATGTAGAGACCAAATTAAAAGAATCAAAAATTTGATTCAGTGACTAAAAGGTAAAGATTACAAACTAAAGGGATGACGGAAGAGGTTAATCTTTTTATTAATTACGGACAGATCCCTCCCCAAAACGGCGTCGTTTGGGGAGGGCTATTTAAGCCCATTCATAGCTGGCCCGAAGGGCCAGCATCTCATTTCTTTCTTCTTCTTCTTCTCTCAAAAACGAGAGAAGAAGCTTTCTCTCTTCCTTCTCTCTAGCTTCCCTCATCGGAGGGAAGCTGGTTATCAGTCGGCCACCGTGGGCCACCGTCAAAACCACCGCCGGCCACCATATCCGGTGGCCGGAAATTATAAATCCCACCCTAAATTAAAGCCTGGTTTTTCCTAAAGCTAGATCCGTAGGTTTTTTAGCCTAAAATACTACTGAAATGCGTAGATCTAAAGTTTATACCTTCGACCTTTGACTTTCCGATGGCTCCAAAAAGGCTCTGATGATCAACGGTTCCCTCGGTAAGTTTCTTTTCTTCCTTTTTCCTTTTGTTTTTGCTCTGTTGTGATGGACTGGGATCGTTGGTAGCTATTGTTTTCTCTGTTTTTTTTCCGGTTCTATTTCTCTCTTCTTTTTTTTTTTGTTTCTGTGTCTCGTTCTGTCTCTCCTTTTTTGTCTTGCAGGTGGGTGGTGGCTTTTATAGCCACCACCGGTGCGGTCATCGGACCGGTCCGAAGAGAGGGCTTTGGTGAGTCACCGGACTACCAGTGGTGACTCACCCCGTAGCCTTGGCGTGGACGGCCGTCGTTAATCTTCTGGAGCCTTCATTCGGGACGTGGCAGCGGCGGAGGCGTCGGCAGTGGGCCATTGGACCACTTGGCAGTGAGGCGGCGGCTGGGATCTGGAAGCATCAGAGGCGGCTGGGTGTGGCTAGGGTTTAGAAACCCTAGCTGAAACCTTACTAATTGTTTTAGGGTTTCTGGTTGGCTGGACCGGTTCTAGTTGGCTTGTAACTGGGCCGGTCCAGTTGTAATTATTTATTAAATAATAATAATAATATATAATATTAATAATAATAATAAATACTAATAATAATAATAATAATAATAATAATAATAATGAATAATAATATTAATATTAATAATAATAATAATAAAATGGATAAAAAATAGTATCTTCACCTTGCACAAACACAGAGCCTGGAGTTATACTACTACAGGGCAACACTTGACTTTTATGGAGTTTTCACTCTCTATTCTTATCCAAAGACTCCCGGTGGTGGCGAAAGCTGGTCCGTGTTCAAGGCTTGGCCAACGGACATATGCGGTACATTTATCGGCGCGGCAAGTCAACGTGGAAACAGATTCGGAATCGGTCCTTGCGGTTATAACAGCATGTGTGAACCCATCGATTGGAGGCCTAATTGTACATGTCCCCCAGGATTTTCTTTCTTGGATGAGAAGAATCAATATGGAGGCTGCAAACAAGATTATCCAAACAAACCTGAAGATTGCAGCCCCGATGGATCCACCATCGGGGAAGATCGGTTCGAATTCAAGTCGATTTCCTTCGCTAATTTTCCGTTCAGTGACTATGGAATATTGAGACCTGCAACTGAGTTGGAATGCAAGCAATCTTGCCTACGTGACTGTTCTTGTGCAGTTGCCATTTATCCAACTTCAAGAATAGATGGCAATGCAACTTGTTTTAAAAAGCAATTACCACTTTTTAATGGGGTGAGGAACAGAGGTACTCTTGATAGTACAGTTCTAGTTAAGGTACTTAAGCAGGATGCATCGAGGAAGAACCCCGAAACACAGAATCAAAGCATAGAAAATCGAGATAGAACCGTTTTGATCCTTGGGGTTCTCTTAGGCACCTCTGCAGTTTTCAGCTTCTTTTCTTTAGCTGCAATTGCTCTTATCTTCTTCTGCTTGTTCCGAAAAAGACTTCACGACTTAAGTGGTGTTCCTAACAGAAGAGATTTAGAGACTAATCTGAGGTTCTTCACATACAAAGACCTCGAACAAGCCACGAACGGATTCAAAGAAGAGCTAGGAAGGGGTGCTTTCGGCACGGTTTATAAAGGAGAATCGCAATCGAGCTACGGAGATCGTGTTGCAGTCAAGAAACTGGACAAGTTTGCACAAGATGGCGAAAGGGAATTCAAAACTGAAGTGAAGGTCATCGGCCAAACTCACCACAAGAACTTGGTGAGACTGATTGGATATTGTGATGAAGCTGAGCATCGACTTCTGGTCTACGAGTTCATGGAAAACGGTTCGTTGTCGAGCTTCCTTTTCGGAGTCATAAGGCCTAGTTGGCAACAAAGGCTGCAGATTGCATCAGGGATTGCAAAAGGCCTCACATACTTGCATGAAGAATGCAGCAAACAGATCATCCATTGTGACATAAAGCCTCAAAACATACTACTGGACGAGTCGTTCACCGCAAAAATATCCGATTTTGGGTTGGCAAAGCTTCTGATGAACAACAAAACTCGAACGCAGACCGGCATACGAGGGACAAAAGGCTATGTAGCACCTGAATGGTTCAGAAACACACCGGTTTCGGTTAAGGTCGATGTTTACAGCTTCGGGGTGATGTTATTAGAGATCATATGTTGCAGAAGATGCGTCGAGGTTGAAATGGATGAAGCAGCGATATTAACAGAATGGGTCTTCCGGTGTTATAGTGAAGGGAAGATCGGAAAACTGGTCGAAAATGATGAAGAAGCTACAAACGATCTTGGGAAATTGGAGATGTTATTGAAAGTGGCGATTTGGTGTGCTCAAGAGGAGCCAATGTTAAGGCCTTCCATGAGGATTGTGACCATGATGCTTGAAGGTGCTGTCCAAGTTCCTAATCCACCATGCCCTTTCCCACTCAGTTCGAAGTCGATGTTAGTGTCGACAAAGATATATAGTTTAGATGCTGTTACGATCGGATCGAATATCGAACCGATGGAATCCCTGGTTCCTAGTTCAATCAAGTATTATATATAGACTTGGCATGCATTCTGATCATATTTGTATATTTTCATGTGTAATGAAAAATAAAGGGCTTTGAGATAGAGAGTGATTAAAGTGCATGAATTTGTTGCCTGTTAGTGTTTTCTTGAGCTTAGGAATTCTGATATGGCAAATAAAGTACTAGTCAGAACCCTCTATTATAGGAACTGGATCAAATTAGTGCTGCTATAGGGACTGGTTTAAGTTAATCCCTTTAACAATAGGACTGTTTTGATGCAGTTCCCATAATAGAAGGACTTGACAAATACTTTCTCCCCTAACATTTCATTTCACTTATTTGCAACATTTTCTCTTTCAACCAAAGAATAGTCCACAACTATGGAACTCGTTTAACATAGACTCATTTGAAGATTTCAAAGGAAGCTCCAATCAAAAGTTGAAAATGTCAATGTCAGGTAAATTTCAAAGTGGGATTATTTTTAATTTTCAAAGTGGGGCCAAACTCACTGACCAGATTTTCAACCATTTCCTCTACTCATCAAACACCTGTAAACCCACATTTGACAATAATGCAACAGTCTAGACAAAGTGCCGTATCAAATTCTCAACATTATAAAGCAGCAACAGCCAACAAATTCATCTTCAGGCCGTTTCAATCACTCTCTAATCTCAAACTTCATTGTTTTTCTTCGTTTTGTCGAACACCAAGTGGTGCAGATTCAGTTATCTCAGCACATTTTCATGCTCAATTTGTTCTTGCTACTAGCTACCTTTGGATTCTTGCAACTGTTGGGGCTCAAAGAAATGTGAGTGTAGGTGATTCTCTATCTGCAAATGACAAAGCCATGGCTTGGCAATCACCATCAGGTGATTTTGCCTTTGGGTTTCTTCCCATTCCTGGTGAAAAAGATAAGTTCCTGCTTGCAATCTGGTATGCTAAGATACCACAGAGAACTATAGTTTGGTTTGCCAATCGAGATCACCCCGAAACCGATCGAGAATAGAAGGTTGAGCTCACTGCGAGCGGTCATCTTGTGCTAACAGACCCTGCAGGCAAAGAGCTGTGGACGTCTCGAAGCGTTACTGGTGACTCTCGAGTGTCGTATGCAGCCATGCTCGACAACGGGAACTTTGTGATCGTAAGCAGAAACTCGAACAACATATGGGAAAGCTTCAAATATCCTACCGGTACCATGTTACCGGGACAAGAACTCGGTGTCGATGGATATCTTTTATCGACTTTGGTTGAAACAAGTTACGGTAAAGGGAAATATCAACTTCGTTTCGATAATGGATCGTTCTTTCTTAATCAAATAGATATATTCACCGGAAAGGCATACGAAGATTACTTTGAGTTCGGAAACGGTTCTCGGTTTGTCTTCAACAAGTCCGGGCATATCCGAATCCCTAACCCAAATGGAAGTCTAGTTCAGGTAGCACCGGTAAATGCTGTTCCGAAACCCGACTTGTACTACTAAAGGGCGACTCTCGACTACTACGGTGTTTTCACTCTCTATTCTTATCCAAGGAACCCCTGTGGAGGTGAAAGCTGGTCTGTGATGTGGTTTAGGCCAAAGAACATATGTCGTCGCTTTGTCGACTCAGTTTTTACATCGGGTAGGGCTACATTCGGAATCGGTCCTTGCGGTTATAACAGCATTTGTGAACCTATCAATGGGAGGCCTAATTGTACATGCCCCCTGGATTTTCCTTATTGGATGAAAACAATCAATATGCAGGCTGCAAACAGAATTATGCAAACTACCCCGTAGATTGCAACCCTGATGGATCCTCCATAGACGAAGATCTGTTCAAGTTCAAGCCAATGTCATTCGCTGATTTTCCTTTGAGTGACTATGGAGTATTGAGACCTGCAACTGAGTTGGAATGTAAGCAATCTTGCCTTCTGGACTGCTCTTGTGCGGTTGCCATTTTACAGGATCCAACTTTAAGTAAAGATGGCAGTGGAACTTGTTGGAAAAAGAAGTTCCACTCTCAAATGGGTGGTTTGACAGGGATGCTCTTGATAGAACAGCTCTATTTAAGGTACTTAAGTCGGATGCATCGAGGGAAAACCCAGCAGGGCCGAGGAACAGAGGTACTCTTGATTGTACAGTTCTAGTTAAGGTACTTAAGCAGGATGCATCGAGGAAGAACCCCGAAACACCGAATCAAAGCAACGAAAATCGAGATAGAACCATTTTGATCCTTGGGGTTCTCTTAGGCACCTCTGCAGTTTTCAACTTCTTTTCTTTAGCTGCAATTGCTCTGATCTTCTTCTGCTTGTTCCAAAGAAAACTTCAAGTGTTAAACTGTGTTCGTAGCAGAAGAGACTTAGAGACTAATCTGAGGTTCTTCACATACAAAGATCTCGAACACGCAACGAACAGATTCAAAGAAGAGCTAGGACTGGGTGCTTTCGGCATGGTTTATAAAGGAGAATCGCCATTGAGCTACGGAGATCACGTTGCAGTCAAGAAACTGGACAAGTTTGCACAAGATGGCGAAAGGGAATTCAAAACCGAAGTGAAGGTCATCGGCCAAACTCACCACAAGAATTTGGTGAGACTGATTGGATATTGTGATGAAGCTGAACATAGACTTCTGGTGTATGAATTCATGGAAAACAGTTCGTTGTCGAGCTTCCTTTTCGGAGTCGTAAGGCCTAGTTGGCAACAAAGGCTGCAGATTGCATCAGGGATTGCAAAGGGCCTCACGTACTTCCATGAAGAATGCAGCAAACAGATCATCCATTGTGACATAAAGCCTCAAAACATACTACTGGACGAGTCGTTCACCGCGAAAATATCCGATTTCGGGTTGGCAAAGCTTCTGATGAACAACAAAACTCGAACACAGACCGGCATACGAGGGACAAAAGGCTATGTAGCACCGGAATGGTTCAGAAACACACCGGTTTCGGTTAAGGTCGATGTTTACAGCTTCGGGGTGATGTTATTTGAGATCATTTGTTGCAAAAGATGCGTCGAGGTCGAAATGGACGAAGCAGCGATATTAACAGAATGGGCCTTCCAATGTTACAGTGAAGGGATGATTCTAAAACTAGTCGAAAATGATGAAGAAGATACAAATGATGTTGGGAAATTGGAGACGTTATTGAAAGTGGCGATTTGGTGTGTTCAAGAGGAACCAATGTTAAGGCCTTCCATGAGAACTGTTACAATGATGCTTGAAGGTGCTGTCCATGTTCCTAGTCCACCATGCCCTTTCCTACTTAATACAATGTCGATGTCGACGACGATGATCTAGTTTCGATGTTAAATAGGGATCGAAGATCAAACTTCGATCTTCTTTGCTGTAATACATGCCTGCCTGGGGTCCATAGTTATACTCTTTGTAGTCTTATTTTTGTTGCAAGAGATGTATCATTTGCTATCCAATGGATAAATTTAAGAACCATTCTCTAATCTCCTTCAAAGATATCATGAAGCAAATCAAGAAGCAGATTTCATGGCAAAACAAAGTATACAAGGATTGTCAAGTATACCTTAACATGATTATATATGAACCGAATCGGAACCGGAGATTTCACCGGATCAAATTTCACTCCGCTTATCGTAACTTGTTCCAGTAAGACGGTACCAGTCGGATATTTGGAGCTTTCACATATGTTGGTCGAGTTTCTGCTCATGATCACAATGGTCCCGGTGTCGAGCATAGCTGCATGTGACACTTGAGAAGCACCGGTAAGGCTTGGTATTTTAACTTGATTTTGACGGTTATAGTCGTTTATCTCTTCTGATTTCGACAGATAGTCACCATCAATAATAATAAAAATATTAGACGATCAATGACGTCAACTGTGGTCGAGAAAATCTGAAGAGAAAAAGATTCTCTTTAGTTTGACATGAGTTGTATGATCATAATTACTGGTCGTAGACTGAAAAATTGGATAAATATAGTCGATTGACAGTAAATTTGACTCTGACAGATTATATCGTTCTATCAGTAATTACATCAAAAATTATTATTGATAGGAGGATATGGATAGAAATTCATTCAAAATAAATCTAACATAAATCTAAATTTATTTATTTGATAATTGAACTATTATCATCTTTAATCTATAAAAATTAATATCCAAATTTAACTAAAGATTCATTCCCAAATTTCAAAGAGAAAAATGAGTAAAAAAAAGGGAAAATGCTTGCATTGTTTATGAGACTATATTATAATCAGTTAGCATAATTGGCTCCTGATCAGCATTGGATCTATAGTTATATAGGTAAATACAGTCAGACCCTTAATATTGTTGTTGACGAAGAATTCTCTTTTTAGTCTAGGTTATGGTTTATATATAGAGATTCTTAAGGTTGGTGTCCGTTGTAGATAAAGATGGAAATTTAACTCGAATCCGATGGATTTTGACCCGACCTATTTCGACCCGACCAGATCCAATAGGGTTGGATTTTTTTTAAAAAAAAGTTCAGGTTAAGGTCGGGCCATATCAAGTCAAGTCGAGTTGGGTCAAATTTTTTAAGAGAACGAGGTCAAATTGGATCAGTGACGGGTTAGATTTTTTAAGAGAGCGAGGTCGGATCGGTCATATTCGAATGGAGAGTGAAAAAACCTCCAACTCGATCTGACCCGGGGATAATAATGAAATTTCTTTAAAAAAATTATTATTATTTTAATTAAGTCCTTATTTTATATCGAGTCAGGTCGGATTTATGCTCTTAAAATTCGGGTCAGGTCAGAGTCGGGTGGAAGATATATATTTTTTGGGTCTAGTCGGGTTGAGTGAAGGATATATAATTTTCGGGTCAGGTTGGGTTTGAATTATGGATACATTTTTTTCGTGGTCGGGTCGGGTTGACCAAAAACCCGACACAACTTGACCCATTGCCATCCCTAGGTGTATAATTAAAATTGTTATTCGTAGTTTGACAGGTTAAATAGATATTATCATCTGATAGTAAACTCGATTTAAACGGATCATATCTTGTTATTGATCAGAGGATTTAGGTCTCCGGAGATTCAATCGCAAAAGGTTCACCAGAATGTTTTGGTTCACGAAGGAGAAGTAGAATTACAACTTTAATCTATAGAAATCAACATTTGACATCCAAATATTCATTCCCATAGTTATATAGGTAGGCAAAGTCAGACCAGTCTAATAATCGGGTCCATCACGACCCGAAACCCATTCCGGGTTGATTCTTCCAACCCCAAAAACAATGTCGGTCTCACTACATAACATGCTTATTTTAATTTAAAATAGTTCATTCAAGTTTTCCCGAGAATATGCACCATGAATGTAGCAAATTCACGGAAAGTTGCCCCGGGATTGAACATTGGCAAGAGCCAGTTGATTTTCAGTATCTGTGATAGCCGAGGGTTGCCGTTCGGAGCTTTCGCCGCTGTCGTTGCACCATTCGTTGATCGCCATGCCCATGGACGTTGGACCATCGTCGTTGATTAGCTTTGAGTAGTCTTCTTCTTCTTCTTCTTGATCTTGTTGAGTTGCGGTACCATTCATCTCCTTTGGCATTTCCTCGTTGCCACCGCCATTGGCTTTGACGGCCAACATATGAGCCTCTTGCAGCATATCCTCCAACAGACCATCACCCGAGCTCCCATCTTGGTCCGTTTTGAACGGATAGAACAACCCGGAATCAATATAGGGCTGATAAAGGTTGTTGCTTGACGAAGAAGCAACATCGAGTGCTACTCGATTCGAATAGTTTTCCATAGGTAAAAATCGTAACATGAAGTTGTTGTTGTTGTTGATGTTTCCATGGTTTTCATCATGCTTGAACCGCTTTTTTTCATGGAAGAAATCATAATCGAAGAGAGGGAGAGTTGTGAAAGGTGGTTGGTTTTGTGGGGATGGAAGGGAGGAGATAGGTGGTGTCGAACCGGAAGGGCTGTTAAGAGGCGGTGGAGTTGAGTCTGAATTCAGGCTGTGGAGATTTGGCGGCGACGACATTGTTGTGGCCAAACGAGGGTTGTAGCGGAAGTTTAGTGGCGACACTCGGTGAGGGATGTGGAGAGGGTGAAGTGATGAGGGCATCATTGAGGTGTGGAGAGACATGATGGGAGTTTGGAAGGAGAAACAAGAGGTCGCGGTGGTGGCGGTAGTCGGAAGAGGAGCAGGGAGTAGCATCTGAGGCTGCGAGTTGTGGTGGAGGTGGTGGGGGTACTGGGAATAGTGGGGATGGATATCACGAGGGTAAAGGGGAAGGCCTTGACGTTGTCTTCTCTTAATTCTTGTGTTCCAATAGTTCTTGATTTCGTTGTCAGTTCTTCCCGGAAGCTGTATTTTATCATTGAAAAATATATAGATTTCATACTCATAATCACATCAAACTATTCATTGTTCCTACATTTTTATTAGTAATAATAAATAATTTATATTGAAAAATTGAAATAAAATCATATTTTTTTACGAAAAAACTCGAAATCAAACTTAAACCTAAAATGATTTGAAAAAACTCTAAGTTACCTGAGCAGCCATCCGAGCCCATTTGTTTCCCATCTTAGCATGCAACTCAATAATCGTCCTTTCTTCTTGCGGAGAAAAATGTCCTTTCTTCAAGTTAGGTCTTAAATGATTAGCCCATCTAAGCCTACAACTCTTCCCACACCGGGCCAGCCCGGTGTTCTTTTGTATCGAATTCCAATTTCCTTCGCCGTTCACCCTCACATATTCCGTCAATACCGCATCCTCCGCCGTCGTCCACGGGCCCTTTTTCAACACCATACCATCTCCTCTCACTCCGTTGTTGCCGTTACTCATGCCATTGTCACCTGACGACCCGCCGTCCTCGCTTTGAGCACTCATTTGGTTGTTTCCTCCCATCATCATCATATTCTCCCTAGATTGATGATGCTAGGGGGACTCTGTGAACTGTAGTTGTTGCGACCGCCGCCGTTATATAATTGTAGATGTAAAAGACTCTACTGTCGATGATTACGATGAATTCAACGACCTAGAGAGTCGAAACCGAAACTAAAAAATAAATATAAAAAAATGTCTTATAACGGATATTGATTAAAATCTTTTGGTTTTATTCTCTTTTTTAGGGTAAAGATGACTTGGATTTCTTTATGGCAAGCCTTTATAAGGTAATGACAACCTGACAGAGTAAAGATGACAGATTTTGCTCTAAAACTACAAATCAATTACGAAAAGGCTTAATACAAAAATCATTATCTAAACTATATCTAAAATTAACTTTTAGTACCTACAGAATTCTTTTGTTAAAAATTGATGCCTAATGTTTTCTCCGTTACACTTCAGAGTTTGAACTCTGGAGAAGGCCTAAACTCTATGCCCTACAAAGGTGACTTTAAGACCCACAAAAGAAGAGGGAGAAAAGGGATGTACCTAATGACACAATTAGAGGTTCAAATCAATGGTAGACCTTAATTGATGGCTTATTCATTTATTTTTATTTTTTGTGTTTTGTTTTTATAGTTTTTTTTCAGTTTTGATCTTAGTTCTTCATTTGTTAAGTCGATAAATTGTGACGGAGTAATAAATTATTCAGGGACGGAGTTAGAAAATATGAATTATCTACGATCGAAATATTTAATCATTAGATTAATTGAGATCTTCATCTAAATCTAACATCTTTCATAACATCAATTCTCTCTTAGATAAAAAATTTATTGAAGCAGCACCTACAATTGAAATAATCAATCATTAGATTAAGTAATTAAAATGACAAAGGAGAAAAAAAAAGGTAATATATAATCCTTTTCACTTCTACAATATTAAAATAACAAAATATTATTTTGTTAAACTTATAACTTCTGTATGAATAAATTACAAATTATTCATATAAAAATTCAGCAGCTTCGCAAATAAAGTAATTGATGGGACCATATCAATGGATGAAATGGTGAATAGATACACCATTGAACTAGGATGGATCGAGCGAGACGGATGAGGATAGTCATCCCTCTAAAAATAGGGGTTTTGGTTAATTGAATAAACCGACCGAATCAAAAATTTTCGGTTAATCGGATGGTTAATTTTAAGCTCGGTCGGTTAACGGTTAATGATTTTTTTCAAAGTTCAGTTATTGGTTAATTCGGTTCGGAATCAGTTAATTAACCGAATCAACAGAAATTTTTAAATTTTCAATATATTATTTATATATTAATAGCTTTAGGAATGTTTAAATTTCGGTTTCGACCGAATTAACCAAATTAGCGGAAAAGATTAAATATTTAATATATAATATATATTATTTAAAATTTAAGTTAATTCGATTAACCGACCGAGTAATCGAACTTTGTTCCGTTCGATTAATTGTTTTCGAAAAAATTTCAGTTTGGTTAACGATTAAAGCGGAGAAAAAATTCAGTTAATGAATTTTTGAAAGTTCAGTTCAGTCGGTTAACCGAACCGACCGATAGAACACGCCTATCTAAAATTTAAAATTATCATATATTTTAAATTGTTTATATATTTTGAACACCCCTACCTGCCATTAACAGTGTCGTGGGAGATTCACATATTTACTTGTCGAATGAGTATCATTGGTCTAATATTGATCTTAATATAAATATTATCATTGTTATTTTAAGTAATACAAATGATTGTAATATCAAAATAGATGTTAATGTTGATAAGGTCCATCAAAAAAAGACTGGGACAAACACTTAAACTCTCAACATAGCTCTAAAGAAAAACACTAATTTATTACAACAATGAAAATGGTTACGACCGAGTTTATTCACAATCACAACTAACAACCCAACATTCTTAAATCAAGATCGATTTTTAGATTGTAAGAGTAGATCCACATACCAGGTGGCCGTGCACAGATATGCAGAAAAGCCCTTACCGACCATTTCCTCAAGGAGTTAGATTGCCTTTGAGGTCGAGCTGTTTCGGAAAATCCCCCGGGTCATTACGTTATAAGAGATGCTATCAGGCAAACAATCATAATCTCCCATGCTCCTAAACACGTCGATCTATATACTATATGTGACAATATCAGGTGAAATATTGTTCTCCACCATTTCATTCAAAAGCCTTGTCACCTCCATTTGCTGGCCCAAATTGCACAGGGCATGAAGTAAGCAACTAAAGTAATGATATCTGGTTGATTTCCCTTAACCTTCAACTCAGAGAAGAGATCAAGAGCCTCCTTCAGCAACCCGTTCTTCCATCTTCTACTTACTTACCGTGGACTGCCCAACGAAAGTCCTCACAAGCATCTTACTGAGTTTCATCTGGTTTGCTCTAGCATGAAACCACAGGGAGTATCTGATGATCAAATTAAACTTCGTACTTTTCCATTTTCTTTAGCCGACACGACTAAGGATTGGTTATTTTATTTACCTCCTAATTCTGTTAATACATGGGCTAATATGCCTCGTCTTTTTCTTGACAGGTTTTTCCCTACTGTAAAAGCAAGTGAATTAAGAAGGAAAATCTTAGGAGTACAACAAACAAATGGAGAATCATTATATGATTATTGGAACGATTCAAGAAACTCTGCGCTAACTGCCCACAACTTCGATTGTTGGAACAAACACTTCTTTATTACTTTTACGAATGATTACTTCCTTTGGAGATGAAGATAATTGATGAAGCTAGCGAAGAAGCACTCGTTAATATGACTCCACATGCAGTCAAAAATATTATTTCAACTATGGCAGCTAACTCTCAACAATTTGGCTTTGCGAGTGAACCCACTCGACAGGTTCACGAGATAAGTTCAATTTCTTTGGGGGGGAAATTTAATAAATTAGCTGATATTGTTCAATCTCTTGTTGCAGACAAAACAGGTATTGCTAGACTTTACAGAATATGCACAATGTCAGATCATCCCACGGATTGTTGTCCGATGTTACAAGATGACAATGTCACACAAGTTAATGCAGTAGAAAATTTTCTGGGACCTCTCTAAAGATAGTATAAACCTAACGCAAATACATATAATCCGAGATGGAGGGACCATCCAAATTTAAACTATGCACAAAACCAAAGGCCCCCTCAACAACAAGCCTATCAATCGAGGCCACCTTCACCTCAATAATATCAACCATCGAAATCATCATTGGAGTCCATCATCGAATTGTTAGCACTGTCTCAAGAACAATTTTAGAATAGAACTGAATCTTGATTTCAAGAACTTGAAAAACAAATGAGTTAATTGGCTTAGACCGTAGGACAAATAGAATCACAAGGAAAGTTACCATCTCAAACCGAGGTGAACCCACGAGAAAACTTTAGTGTCATCACCCTTCGGAGTGGAACTGTTATCGCACCAATCCCTAAAGAAGTTGCCGTAAAATCAAAGAAAGAAAAAAAGAATCAAGATCCCAAAAAGAAAAAGAAGAAGTTGACGCAAAATCCCATAGGAAAAAGAAAGATGACTCACAACTTCTTCCCATGCTATCTCCATATGCCACGCCTCCTCCTTTCCCCTCAAGGTTAGTAAAATGCGATAAACAAGTCGGGGAAAAGGAGATTCTTAATATTTTTGAAAAGCTGGAAATTAATATACTGCTTGTAGAGGTAATCCAAAAAGTACCAAGATATGCCAAATTTTTTAAAGATATTTGCACGAACAAAATGAGACTTACCGGCAATGAAAAGGTAAATTTAGGAGAAAATTTCTCAGCTATTTTCCAATGTAGACTTCCACCTAAATTAAAGGAGCAAGGTATGTTTGTTATACCCTGCAAAATCGGCAAGGTAGGAATTAAACTTCTTATGTGTGATCTTGGTTCTTCAATTAATGTTATGCCTCTTTCTATTTACAACTCACTTTCTATTGAGCCTTTGAAGGAAACTAGGGTGACAATTCAACTCGCTGATAGATTTGTTATCTATCCTGAAGGACTTCTTGGAATCATACTGGTTAAGGTAAATGAGTTAATTTTTCTGTCAGATTTCTATGTCATCGACATGGAAAACGACCGAACCAACACCTCCTCTAAAATTCTTCTTGGTCATCCCTTCTTAAGCACGTCTGACACTAAAATCGACGTTAGAAGCAGAACTCTTACCATGGAATTTTACAGTGAAGTTGTAAAATTTGATGTTTACAAGGTGATGAAACATCCTGACTTTGTGGCTAATGTTAGCTTTGTCGATTTAATTAAACCTTCTATGAATGAACATGTTGAACATAATTTTTTTGATGAGTTGTATAGGAATTCGAAGGTTGAAACTAACAACGCTTCTAACGTGGATTCACAGTCATTAGGCGAAAAGCTAGGTAAGAATTTAAATTTGATGCCTTCTCAATCTAAATTTTTCCCATCTATTTTGCAAGTATTAAAATTGGAATTAAAATCGCTTCTGAAACATTAAAGAACACATTTTTGGGTAAAGTAGATAATTTATCTATTTTGGATAAGCTTCCAAGGCTGAAAAAAATCCGAAGAAAAGATTGTGAGAGTGACAAAATCTACAAGGATAAAAGAAAAAAAAATATGATCATAGAATTTCCCGTGAGAAATTTCTTCGATGAAAAAAGTGTATGAAGTGGAAGAAACATCTTTCTCGGAACATGTAGTCTAAATCAGGTCATCGAGCTAACGACGTTATACAAAAGCGCTCTAATGCGAGGCAACCCATTTTTACTATTTACTTTATTTTTATTTATTCATTTTTATTGTTTATTTTTCTTTATATATTTAGGTACCTAATGAATCTGCAAATTTTGCCATCACTAAACATGAGGAGTATCTCTATTCCTTCTCTTATGCTTTAATTTACATATTAAGACAATATGCTTTGAGTGAGGGGGTAGAGAACTTAGAACACTTGCATCGAATTATTGCTCGCTTATTTGCATGCTTGAAATTGAGTTGCCTTGGTTGATTTGTTGAAATCTCTTGTTATTGATCTTAAATCTTGGTTTGTCTCATTGAGTACCTTAGGAGTTTATGATCACGAGTTTATCGGATTTAGGGTGCATGATAGTAAAAATGGCATAATTAGTATTCTTCCTTAAAAAATTTCCTTGATGTTCTATGAATCCAATGATTAATATGTTTCTTGATTCAAAACACAATACACCTTCATATGAGATTTGAGCCTAAACAAGTATACCTTTTCATTCTTGCTCATTTGTTTGATTGAGTGTGCCGGATTAATTTTAACATTCTAGAACTCGTGATTAAATGCATATCGAGACCACATGTTGAAACTTGATGCTTTAAGATGATCAGGGCACTTAGGATTAACCCATTTATCTACCTAAATTGCCTACCCTTTTATACCCACTAGTGAACAAACTTTGAGCCTTTGCCATTTTCTTTGTTTTTACCATTTTCTTTGTTTTTACCATATTATAAAACCCGAAACCTTTCGATTTTATTTTTACCCTCTATTGTTACCCTTGTTGAGACATGAGATAGATTTGTTCCACTAACGAAAAAATCAAGAGAAGAAAAGAAGTAGCATTTGGGGGAAATGGATCAAACAAAGTGTTTGAACAAAAGAAAAAGCAGAAAAATAGCTTAAAAACAAAAAGGGAATCGAAAAAAAGGAAGAAAAAGAAAAAATTTGTTGTTTGATTACGCTTCTTTGAGTGTGTTTACTTTGTTGAATTAGTGTTTTGAACTCATATATTTTATATCTATTGTCTTGACTTTTAAACCCATTCTTTTTTGCCTTTTCCCTACCCCAAACTAAGCTCCATTACAATATGGTTAAAGACCCTTTGATTGAATGCACCTTGTTCAAACGAGTGGTGGAGACTTGATTTTCTTGCAAGCCTATGGTAATGTCTTTATTAATCTTGACTTTGAGATATTTATTTTCTTTCTCTTACCCTAAACACTTTGAGTGATAATGAGTGAATCCTTGTGAGGTATTAAGTTTTGTTACATACATTGGAATCGACGAATAATTGGAATATCTTGGCTTTTACTTAAAATCTTTACTAGTTATGCCTATTTGCTTAATTGTCACCTTGTTTCCGATAATTGATGTGATTATTGGCTTGTTTGATTTTCTTTGATATATTTGTGAGATGAAAGATTGTTGAATTGAGATTTTGATAATTGATTAAGGCATGCTTGAGGACAAGCATTGAATAAGTGAGGGAGAATTTGATGAGTGTTTTATTTGGTTAATATTTTGTTATTAATTAATTTGTGTCCTTTTATAGTGCTATAGGTTGTTTTTATTCGAATCTGTGCATAACTCTATTTTTCAGGAAATAACAATTAAAAGGTGAATTAAACAGATTTTCCTATTTATTTGGGAGAAGTTAGCCAATCAGATTCAAAGATCAATCCAAGCATAAACTCTAATTAAATAATCCAAGTAGCAATATCAAATGAGGAAAGCAAGGCGAACCACAATTTCTTAGGAATTAAAAAGTTATAATTGGATTTAAACATTTGGTATTTTATTATTTTATTAGGAATTCAGTTTTCATAGAATTATTAGTTTACTATTATTTAGGATTTTTAATAATTATTAATTAGGAGTTTTAGTTTGTTAGAATTAATAGTTTGAATACCCTTGAGAGTTAGTAATTTATTTTCTTTAGGTTTTCTCAAGCTTTAAATACCCATCAAGGTGAATCTTAATAGATGTACAAGTTTAGAATTCAGTATAGAACTGGTTTTTGTTTTTATTTTGTTTTTAGTTTTTCAGTTTAATAAAATTATTTTTCTTCTCCATCTATTTTCTTTCTACACGCCAAGCATGATTTCTATCATGCTTTGCTAAACTTTTCGTTAGTTGATAGATGAGCGACATCTCAATCCAGTCTCTTGAGAATCGAAAAGGTTCGTAACATCTTCATATTTCTTTCTTGATTTTTATGCAAACAAGGAGATGGCAATCGACCTTTCTTCAACATCTCAATATCTTCGATCCAAGGAGTGTATAGAGCACATTGGTTTGTTCGACGTTGTGATCTACAGTTGGGGAGGAGGATCGGCTTGTAGCAAGTTCAATTCCCTAAGAACAAACTTAGCGACTGTCTGCTGAGGGAAATCAAGATCGGGTTCAATTCTCATTGAGAGACCATAATCCGAGCACAGGTTTTTCCAGTTCCAAACCAACATTGGCGTTAATATCAATAGCCGATATTAATCCAAACAATGTCTAAATTTCAAGGATTGGTTTTGGGAATTAGTTTACCAGAGAGAAGAGTAAATTACAAGGGTTGGACCTTGTAGACTGTAACCGACAAGTATTCGAAGTAAAATCTATTTCATTGATTGAGACGGATTGAGGCGAAACGAAGCTGGAGGCTATCTCTCATCTTAATTATTCCTTTACAATTTACTTCTCTTATTTTTATTGCTTTGATTAAATTTTATTTATTTAGTTTACTTTGTTATTAAAAAAACCCCATCATTTTAATTTTCTTGTATTACAGATTTTTTGGTTAAAAATCAATTCAGATTGATATTAGAAATTTTCAAATCCCTGTGGACCGACACCATTCTTCTCTATATTACGTTCTTAGCATAATTATCCGAGAAAAATGATTAATTATTTGACAATTACGACGCTTGTCAACAGGTAATTTGGTTAACCGATCTAATCGAATTACCCAAATTTGATTAATCGGTTTTCCACTTTAACCGTTAATTGAACCAAATTTTTTTGAAAAACAAATAATTGAATCATACTAAGTTCGGTTAATTGATCGTTAATTGAATTAATTGAATTAACCGAAATTTATAAGTAATATATATTTAATATTTAATATTTTTGGTCTATTCGGTTAAAACCTAGTTTAAACACCCCTAAAGCTAAATTATATATATAATATTAATATTTAATAATTTCAGTTAATTCGGTTAATTAACCGATTTCGAACCGAATTAACTGAAACTAAAGTTCGAAAAAAAACCATTAACAGTTAACCAACGGAATCTAAAATTAACCGACCGAAATTTTGGTTCGGTCGGTTAATTCGATTTTAACTGAATAATTAAGACCCCTACTGTTCACCATAGGAATATAGTAAGGAAGGATCAAAGTATACATACCCCACCAACGGGGTTGGTTTAATTGGGTTCGAGTCCTTGGAATCAAAATTAAGTGTACGACGCATGTCGATCCAGATTAGTCAGGACGAAGCTTTGGAACCGGGAGAACAAAAAAAATATACCTACCCCACCATTTATTTGGCCGTCCACGACCTTTTTCTCGGTGACTGTACTTTGTTTGAACATTGAAGTAGATATAGATATAAACATATAAAAGAGAATGCATCATATAGACTTAAAATGGCTTCTGATTCACTTTATTTCCATTGTCAAAGGATGATGAGGGCAGATGATATTGGCATATTCGTGGTTTTCAAAAGCATGTGCATAATTACTAATATATACGAGAGAGGATATATGAAGATGGTACACCATCTTAGATGGTGTACCATCTTCATATATCCTCTCTCGTATCAATTTTTATGTATGATATGCATGCATGATGCATTACTAATATCTCCTTTTGTTTCTACTGCAGCTGAAGTAGGTGAAGTTATTGCTAAGGCTGATAAATCAACAATGGAAGATTTTATTTCTTCTACTAGAGTACTCCTCAATAGAGTCACAAGAACATCACAACATGATATTATCTTCCCTCCAACTAATCCCACCCCGAATATCGTCGCCGTGCCCGCCACGAACCCTGCGAATATGTCGGCACCGATCTCGGTACCTTCTGCAGATCCCAACAACCCGACTACGGTACAGGTAACCAATCCGATCATGACACCTTCACCCATCGCTGTGCCAGGGGCAGGGGTACTGCAGCAGCCGGTGACGAATCCTGTAACGACGTATCGCGTTTCTATGGGAGGAGTCCCTGTGAGCACACCGGTGCCAAATCCTGTGCCTCCTAGTACAAATTCTCCTGCAGTTCCAGGGCAGAGCTGGTGCGTAGCTCGGACGTGAGTGTCGCAGACTTCGCTGCAATCGGCGTTGGCTATGCCTGTGGAATTGGAGGAGTCAATTGCTCGCAGATCCAGCAAGGTGCTAATTGTTATAATCCGAACACATTGCAGAACCATGCATCATATGCTTTCAATACCTACTATCAGAAAAACCCGACACCGACTAGCTGCGACTTCGGCTGGACTGCAACCATAGTGAACACCAATCCAAGTAAGATCCGTTAATTCGTTCAAGTTAATCTTCTTTCGAAATCATTTGAATGTTCAGTGATAAATCTTCTAATCTTAATAGGCACTGGATCCTGCATTTTCCCGTCTTCCGGATCGAAACCGACTCCGACCGCAACACCAGCAACATCGACATCAATAGGGGCAGGTGTACCAGGGTAAAGAGTCCATTTTGATCACTTTGACATGGACACTATTAGTATTACATATGCTTAAACTTGGAGAAATGAGCTTGAATGTATTTTGCAGCTCGGTCACCCCACCTTCAGTATTAAACTCAAGCACCCCTGGCTCAGGCTCTGCCGCCACAAGTGTTTTCGGGTCCGACGTACCTCTCAGGTTCAACACATCGACATCCATGTCGGCTGGTTTATTATTCTACTGTCAATGACATATTTCGTTGCTCGATTGATCTTCGATTCAAGCACCTTCCTATATATCACTTCATTCTTTCTGGGGAAGAAACAGGTGATCTTTGAGTTCCCATATGACTACTACATAGCAGTCACGACGTGGCGACGATGTTCGTCTCGAGATGTAGAGATGCTATATTCTTAATGTTCCAAAATGAATATTCATAGATCTGTATATCTTATTATCAGGTAGTGAAAATTATAGGTTTGAGAAGGACCATTTTCATCAAATTATCTCAGATTTGTGCATAGAGATGGGAACTGTAATGCCAATGGGAAGCATTTTGCAAGGCATCGAATTTCCAGTAGACACTACTCTTCGAGTTAATCAAGTTGACGAATCTTATTTTATAATTTAAATTTTATTTAAAATTAGGGTAAAGTACATAAATGATCACCTGACTATAGAATATTTTTTATTAAGTCCATTGACTATTAAAAGTTCCAAAATGCTCGCCTGATTATTCATTACGTTCCAAACTCGTCTTTTCCCGTTAAAGATTTGACTGCAATCTGACATGTACATCAACCTGCTGACTGAGATATGATAAAATATGATCTCATAATCTCAAACGACTATCATATCTCAATCAGCATCTTAACGTCCAGCTTAGATGACCATTAATTTTTTAATGGAAAATGACGAGTTTGAAACATAATGAGTAGTCGAGTGACCATTTTTTAACTTTTAATAGTCGGGGGACTCAACAAAGCAGCTTCCTATAATTGAGGGACCACTTTGTAACTTTTAATAACCAAGGGACTCAATAAAGCAATATCTTATAGTTGGAGGACTATTTATGTACTTATCCTAAAAATTGAGTCGAATAGCATTAACATCAGTTGATAAGGAGAGTGTTTTTATAATGTTAGTGAATTGCACTAAGGAATAGCATTAGCAAATAACAATAGCCTCAAGTTGAAAATAGTAAAAGGACTTGGAAAGATCATATAATATTTTCATTAATTGATGGATTAAATTGACGAGAAGAAATAATTTGTAAAGAGTTATAATTAGAAGATTAAATTGAATAAAATTAAAATTTAAGAGACTAAATCAGAACAAGAAGAGATTTATTGTCAAAATGATGAATTGAAGTTATACATGTATTCGATATTGATTGAGAAGTACACAGTTTATGAAGTTTAAAACGAATGAAGAATTGAATAAACGAAGAAATCATGTAAAGTTAAGAGACTAAATTATAAAAAGGAAGAAAATTGTTGCCAAAAAAAGAAATCGAAGTTATATAGATATTTTATATTATTTGAGAGCACGAAAGGGTGAGCATTCGATTAAGTCAAGTTGGGTAAAACAAATTTAAGTTATTCGAGTTGACGAGTCCTATTTTATAACTCGAAATTGACTTAAAATTTTTTCGATTCAAATTGAGTCGAATCGAATTTTTGAGTTTATGTTTAAATTTAATTATAAATATCTTTAATATTATGATATTGTTTGATTCTGATTTAAATGGTTTTTTATAACCATATACGATACATATATATTTCTTCATTTTTTTTTGTAATATACGTATATAATACAAAGTCGAAGGACTCAAATTCAAACTTGAAAATCGATATATTAATTACTAAAAGTTTAAAGTTATTCGAGTCACTATGCAAGTTATTTGAGTTGTATTTTACAACTTGATTTGAACTTAAAATTTTTTCGAGTCGAGTCAAGCCAAAAAAAAATAGTTTTTTGAGTCGATTCAAATTTTTCTCATGCCTATACATACATGACATTATCCTATGGTGACATGTCAGTATCACTAATAATTTTTTTTAATAGCGTGTGATAAAAACTGAACCAAAACGTTAGACAAAATTTTGAAAAAGAAATAGTTGAGTGACTGAAACATAAAATAACTAATAAGTGGGTGATCAAATTGATAGTTTACCAAACAGAATATTTAAGAGGACGCACATCAATGGAGGTCAATTCTCTCAGGCCAGTAACTTCGTCTTCTCTTCCTCTTATCTTTCCCAGTCTTGTTTGATTGTTGATATGTGAATATACTTCCGAACTCCAATGTTTGTAAAGCTTTTGACCCTAAAACTAAAATTTCCCAGCAATATCCCTTCATGGCTCAACTTCCCCGGCTTTTTTCTCCTTTCATACTCCA